ATTACTATACTGTACCATACCTTATAAAACAATACCATACCATACCTTATAATACAATACCATACCTAACCATACCATACCTCATAATACCTAACCATACCATACCTCATAATACCATACCATACAATACCTTACAATACCATACCATACAATACCTTACAATACCATACCATACAATACCTTACTGTAGCATACCTTACCATGCCATACCATATCCTACAATATCATACCCTACCATACCTTACCACCTACCCTACTACAGTTCACTACCCAACAAGAGATATGGTATCACCCCCTCTACCGCTCTTCTCTCTCCTTTCCCTCATCTTACTCTTCCTTGCTGCCCATAAATAACTTGTTGCCTTTGATCAGCCAGCAGAACAGAAGCGAGACTCTCTGCTGTCAGAATGCACTGATCAGTGGCTGCTGCAGACTGGTGGCAGCTGCTGATCAACAAAGGTTTTCCAACTTTCCCGTTCAAATGGGGACAGCCGTACATGGATGAAAGTCCATCCAGTCCCTAATGCAAATTTTGATCCATCTATGGCCAGCTTTACTCTCTTACATTCTGCATCTCCCCCTCCCCCTTACTTGCTCTCTCTTTCCTCCTTCCCCTTTAAAGCAGGCCATAGGTTTTTGTTTAACCAGAAGGTTAAAAGGAAAAAAACTGACCCAATTCCCCCATCCACACATTCAATGTGGATGGGGAAATCCTCCTCATTGAGTTTTTGTGTTCTGACATCAGGGAGACTTCTCCATCAAAATACACAGATCAGCACTGCTGGTTATAGCCAGCAGCACTGATTGAATGGAGAAATTCCAATAGGCTGGTTGCACAGAAGTTGATCAGTAGATTGACCTACCTACCTACCTACCTACCTTCCTTCCTTCCTCTTCTCTTGGTATTAACTCTCCTTCCTCTGTTTCCTTGTAGATTAATAAAGGATCCTAAGCCGAAGCAACGTGCTATCATTGAGTACTTGATGAAGGAGTGGTGCAGGCTGTCCAGAATGTCTACAGAGATGACACCATTGACAAGATCAATGTGCACAGATGGATGAAGACGTTTAAAGAAGGAGAAACCAGTATTGAAGACAAACCACTCAGGGGGAGACCATCAACTGTGACCACTGACATGAATCATCAGCGGGTGACTGTTTTTTAGGATGAAAAGGACATCATTCTCCTTGATATTCAGGAACATGGCTTTACCATTACCAGCGAGTAGTACACCGAAACACCAAAGAAGCATAGAGAAGCCATTAGGAGGAAGAGACCGGATAAGAATCTGAAAATGACCCACATTCACCATGGCAATGTGTAACCACATACATCTTTGGCAACAAACAAGGCAATCACCAAATCTGGCTAGTCAGTGGTCTCCTATCCACTGTGTAGCCCAAATTTAGTGTCCTCCTATGTTCACTTGTTCACGCCAATGAAGGACAGTCTTCGGGGACAACAGTTTGATTGCACACACTAGGTGAAAGTGGTTGTGAAGAAGTTGGTACAACAGTGCACAGCTGATTTTTTTCAAAGAGAGTTCAAGAGTTGGGTTCAATGATGGCACAATGCATCACTTGCGATGGAGTCTATGTTGAATAGTACAAAGTATGTTTGTATAGATCAGGGGTCTCCATACTTTCTAAACAAAGAGCCAGTTTACTGTCCTTCAGACTTTAGGGGGGCCAGACTGTGGCCATTGGGAGTCAAAAAGGTCCCAATGTCATTGGAAAAAAATGCCCCATCTTTAGTGCCAGTGGAAAGAACAGTGCCCTATCATTTGTGTCATTGGAAGGAATTGTGCCCCATCATTGGTGTCAGGTAGTGGGGGGGATAATGGCCCATTGTTGGTGTTTTGAGAGAAACTTTTCCCCATCATTGGTGTCAACAAGGAGCATAATGGCCCATTGTTGGTATCAGTGGATGATACCAACAATGCTGCTTTGGGTACAGCCTTCATAAAAAATATTGCGATAGTCATTATTATTGCCACTACAACAGTTTTTTTTTTCTTTTTACTGATTACTGCACCACCTCTTTCAGCACCTACTTGTGGCAATGGAAGGGTTGGGAGAACTAAAAATTTACACAGAGGCTCTGAAATCTAAGATGATGTGTAGCTCCCTCTAGTTTAGGTAGGATTTTTGTGATTACTTAGAGGCTAGCTAGAATCCTGGGTATGAGTTAGCCTGGGAGTGAGTCAGTAAGACGACTTCAGGTTAGGCTGGGAGGCTCTACAGGTCAGGGCTTCTGGAGTCCTCCCACCCGTCTAGATACTACTGGCACTCTCTAGAAGAGGGGCGGAGGAGGGGAGAAGGCATGGGTTTGCATGCTTGAGGGAACCTGGCCAATCCTCAGGCAGGAGGCCTGGCATGTTGGCTAGGACAACCCTTAAATATGAAAGAGTCTGATCAGCAGGGTTGTTGTTGTTGGAGTTTAGTGAAAGATAGAGTGAGGTGCTGCTGGTGTCAAGCCTGGGAGGGGGCCCATGAGGAGGGCGGCCTGCCTACAGGCTGAAGCTGGACAGAAGGACCTCCACTGTCCCACAGTCTACCGGGGAAAGACAGCCTGTTAGCAGAGAAGCAACCAGCCCAGCTAAAGGCCTGAAAGCAGCTGCAACCTACTAAGCTACAGGAACAGGACAGTGTGAGTACTTCTACACCCCCTGGGTCAAAGAAGGGAGAGGGCAGTCAAGTGCAATATCCAACCAGTTCTCCCTGGGACTACTTAATTTGTACACCTCAGAATCCCTTGCTCAGGGACACTCAAGACAGCCAGGTGGATGAGGAGATTTTCACCTGGGGTCTGAGGTTCACTAAGGGGACCAAGTGCTCCTTGCAAAGACTGTTTGCTGCTGATTCTTGTCCTTTTTGCTAATAAGTTGTCCTCCAAAGTTGTACAGTTCCATTGGGCATTCCATATACCCCTAGACCCCATTCCCCAGACCCCAATTTGTTAACCCCTAATAAAACAACAAAAAAAAAAACAAGCTCAAGGACTGTTTTACTGACTTTGGCTGAAAGTATGGCAAATGCTTGTTGCCTGGCCGTGCAGAGCTTAGAGGGACCCTTGAGAGGGTAGTGCTACAGACAGAAAACACTGGAGACAGAATAGTTTCGTAACAGGTGCAGTTAACCTTGATGGCTCTGTTGCCAATATAGTCTGGTATAGGGAGAGTAGTAATTGAGTGTTAGGCTCCTTTTAGAGAAAAACCTTCCTCTAGGGAGGCAATGAGAGACGTTAGTGCCCATTAAATGCCAGGATGAAAGAGGCCTAGGGAGACGGGGCATCAAAGACAAACATTCCACAGGGGCTACTGCCCAGGAGCCCTTAACAGGACTGAAACTCCAGGCGAGGTGGTTCAACACTCAGTAGGAACAGCATTAGTCACCTTGACTCTTTTATGGTCTTCAGAGGGCCGTGAGGAGGATGCAAAAGGCCTTTCAGGCCACACCAGAGTCCTCTGAAGTGAGTACTAGTACACCTGGATGTGAGTGTGTCATCTGGGAGCATGCCCAGCTGGGCAGAACTATGGAAGGGACATTGAGAGAGACTGATATACTGTATAAATGAGGGCACCTTGATTATACTCGGTGATGGAAGCTGAATGCTATGGACTTGGAATACATAGGGAAAGTGGTCCCAACAATGTGGTGCTCCCAAGGAGCCAACTCCCAGCCAAAAGTTTATTCCATGTACTCCCCCTTCCTGACAACTTCTCCCTATGGATCTGGTCCCTGTTAACAACTGTGCTGGCAGCTCTCCTGCTACCTGTCCTTGGATTAGACATACTTCACTGGGGGAAGGGGGGGGGCTGCCATCAAAACTTTGTTATAGGGCCCCTTGATCTGTAGTTACACTCCTGGCTATAGAAACACTTTAAACATGACAAGACTCTCCACGTTCCTGGACCACATCCATGGGAATTCTCACATTGTAGTTTTTGTATTGCCTGGATTGTGGTGGACCAGCCATTCCACGTGGCTCTTTCATTCGAGCTTGACAAAACATCTGGACGGTGTGAAGGTGGGATGAGGCCATGTTGGGACACTCTGTGGCCAGCTGTGCTATGACATTAAAGGGGTCGGTGTGTGCTGACATCTTCTGACAAAGCAGAGGAAGGGGAAGGTGGGGGTCTATGTGTGTGTTGAGTATGCAACATCTGGATTCTATTTCACAGATTCCTCCTCCTCCCCCCTCTGACTACCAGTCCTGACTCTTATCCAGAGCACTCACTGACATCTGTGTCCCTCATCTGTACTCGCTGGACGGGGAGGCTCAGACCCCACTAGACCATTCCAACACGCTCATTCACATCTGCATCCCTCAACGGACAAAGAGAACAGGGAACTGGCCACCGAACTGGCTCCTAACTTGGACATAGAGACTGAACATTGACCACCTTCCCTAGAAGCGGGCACTGTGGCTCCTAACCTGGACATATATACTACATACTGTTCACCCCCCCCAATAGAAGCAGGCACTTTAGCCCTTAACCTGGATGTAGAGAACTGGCCACCCAATTGGCTCCTAACTTGAACGTAGAGACCAAACATTGACCACCTCCCGGACATAGTGTCTCTTAGCCTGGACACAAAGACCCCGTACTGACCACCTCCCCTACAAAAAAGCATTGTGGCCCCCTAGCCAGGACGCAGAGACTAAATACTGACTGCCTTCCCTAGGACAGGGAGTTGTGGCCCCTAGCCTGGAGGCAAAGATCACATACTAACCACCTCTTCTAGAACCAAGCGCTGTGGTCCATAGCAAGGACACATACTGATCACCTCCCCTAAGACTTGGCCTCTATCCTGGACATAAAGACTGCATACTGACCACCTTCTCTAAAACCAAGCACTGTATCCCCTAGACTGGGCACAGAGACTAAATACTAACCACCTACCCTAGGACCAGGTGCTGCGGTCCCTAACCTGGTTCCCATAATCCTGGGAGAGACACTGTGATCCCTATCCTGGACTCAGATACCAATCATAGACCACCTCCCCCAATCACAGACTTTGGACACTGACCACCCTTGCCCTGTGCACAGGGACTGGACACCATCCACTTGTCCCCCACGCAGACTTTGGACGCTGTTCACCTCCTCTATTGAAATCCAGCCATTGGCCCCCTCCTCCCTGTACACTTCCCGCACTCTAATCCCACTCACACAGCAGGATGCTCTTCGCTCTTCTCTTCGCCCTCTCTCTCTGTCTGGGGGTCTCCTGGGGTCAAGAACCGAGTCAGCCAACCCCAAGTTTCACCAGGTAAGGACGGAGCCTTGTGTTTCATTATTAGAGCTTTATATAGCGCCATCATATGCCATGGCTCTGCAAAAGTGCAAGATGGGGACCCAGCAGGTACTACTCTGTGTGCAATGCGTTCCATTATTAATGCTTCCTAGAATGCTGTCATATACCGTGGCGCTGCAAAATGCATGATAGAGTGCCAGCAGGTATTACTATGTGTGCAATGCAGCGCCGTCATATACCGCGGCGCTGCAAAATGCATGATGGAGTACCAGCAGGTATTACTATGTGTGCAATGCAGTGCCGTCATATACCGCGGTGCTGTAAAATGCATGATGGAGTACCAGCAGGTATTACTATGTGTGCAATGCGTTTCATTATTAATGCTTCCTAGAGCGCTGTCGTATACCGTGGCGCTGTAAATCACGATAAAGTGCCAGCAGGTATTACGCTGTGTACGGTGCTTTTCATTAATACGTCATTATACTTCATATAGCGCCATCATATACTGTGGTGCTGTTAAAGTGCATAATTAGGCACCAACAGGTGTTAGTATGCGTGCAATGCTTTCCAGTATTAAGACTTTATATAGCACTGTCATATACTGTGGCGCTGTAAAATGCACGATAAAGTGCTAGCAGGTATTACTCTGTATGCAACGCATTCCATTATTAATGCTTCCTATAGCGCCGTCATATACCGTGGCGCTGTAAAATGCATGATAACAGGCCAGCTGGTATTACTGTGTGCAGTGCTTTTCATTATTGATGCTTCATATAGCGCCAGCATAGACTGTGGTGCTGTAAAACCCCAGAATAAAATGCCAGCAGGTGTTAGCATACGTGCAATGCTTCATATAGCGCCATCCTATACCATGGCGCTGTTAAAGTGAGCAATAAGGTGCCTGTGGGTATTACTCTGCCTGCAATGCTTTCCATCATTATTGCTGTATAGCGCCATCCTATGGCATGGCGCTGTTAAAGTCATTACCTTCTGCCGCCTTATCGTGCCCTTTAACAGCCCCCCCCCCCACCCTGTTGAATTGCCATCCCCCTGCTCGCCATCCTCCAATTACTGAGATCGCTGGCCTCGTCACGCGGCCTTTCACAAGCCCTAGAAGAGTTCTTGGCCGGTCAGATATGGCTGGGAATCCCTGACTGTGCACTTTCTGACGTAGGGGCCGTAATCAGACCCCGCCCACTACCCAGGGAAGAAAATACCGCCGCTAGCTATTGGCGATCACATGACTAAAAATGAAAAAAATCGAACGCTTGGCGGCAGATTTTGTTCATAAAAATGTTGTTTTGCAGTACAGAGCTCAGCACTACCACAGTTAAATATGTACATCGGCATCTACTTCAATGCTTTAAATAGCGCCGCCATATGCCGCGGTGCTGTACAAACACACATTAAAGTGGCAGCTACCTTTACTTTGACCGTGATTGATACATCATGCTTTGATCAATTCATCTCTAAGCTCCTTCCGATACTACTGGCTGTCCGCCAAGGAAGCGTGCGGCCAGTGAAGTCAGAACTTTTGATCTGCATGAGAGATGGGACGACGGCAGCATGTACAGTGCAACAGTTTGTCAGATCCAACGAAATACTGGGAACCATCAGAATTCTTTTCCTGTGTGTGTCATGCTGGCATGGCTGTCTGTGATTGGTTGTTGATCTTGTGAATGCGACTTTTTTTATTCTGAGGTGTCATAAAGCAAAGCTGTATGATCTTTATCATATTGTCCAATCACAGTGTGTGGCCAGCGTCACCAATAAGTAATGAAGACCGCTCACTTCTGCTCTCTCTCCTTGTACAGGCTGACTGGTCTGGTCTCCGCCCCCTCCTGTAGTTTTCTGCAGGCATCTTTTTGTGGGTGGAGTCTGATGGGCCCCCTCCCGCCTCTCTGCTCTCTGCACAGACTCTTGTCTCCGCCCATTCTTTTAACTTTCCGCAGGCAGCATGTAGTGGGTGGGGCCTCCTGGAACCCCTCCCATACCTCTGCTTTCTGCACAAGCTATGCACAACACAGCGAAGATGTTACTGCTCCTTTTTTGAAATTTTTTTTTCATCCTTGAAGCCCAACTCCAGGCTTATTTGTACTCACCTCCTTCCCATCACACCCCCCCCCCCCCCCCCCCCCCCCCAGACTGAGGATCAGGGATTTTTTTCAGATAAAAGGTGCAGAAACTCCCCCCTTTCTGAGTCACCCCTTGTCTTCGCCTCCTACCCACCTCCGAGCTCTGTCCCTTGGCTCCACCTCCGAGCTCTGTCTCTTGGCTCCACCTCCAAGCTCTGTCCCTTAGCTCCACCTCCCACTCACCTTTAAGCTCTGTCCCTTGGCTCCACCTCCTACCACCTCTGAGCTCTGTCCCTTGGCTCCACCTCCTACCCACCTCTGAGCTCTGTCCCTTGGCTCCACCTCCGAGCTCTGTCTCTTGGCTCCACCTCCTACCCACCTCCAAGCTCTGTCCCTTGGCTCCACGTCCTACTCACCTTTGACCTCTGTCCCTTGGCTCCACCTCCTACCCACCTCCAAGCTCTGTCCCTTGGCTCCACCTCCCAGTGTCTCCCCTTTTAAAGAATACAGAACCAAGTATCATTTTTTGAGCTAAGCAATTTGGAGTTTGTTAATGACAACAAGAAAAGCAGTAAAATAGATCTCCTGCAGCCAGCGAATATAGATTTCCCCCCCCAGAAACAATCGACTCCCCTGGCAACAATAGATCCCCCGGTAAGACTAGACCCCATGACAACAATAGATCGCCCAGATACAATAGATCCATCCAGCAGCAATAGATCCCCCGGCAGCAACAACAGGTCTCTAAACCCCCCAGCAACCAGCTCCCCATCCTCCAACAGTAGTTATTTCCCAGTAACTAATGATCCCCTCACCAGAAACATAAGACCCTGCTAGCAACAACCGATCCCCCACCAGCAACAACACACCCCCCACTCAAAAATAGATCCCCTAGCATCAGTAGACCCTCTAGCACACCCCAGCACCCCTTGTCGTTACATATATCCAATGCTGAACGTGCGTTCCCCCACGTTCCCGCTGAAAAAAAGCCCTGCCAATCACAATCTATAAATGTGTGCCGTGGACCTGCACATGCAGGAGTGTATTCTTGCAGGATTTTTAGCACCTAGGTTTTTCTGGAGGCCATTGTGAATTACAGTGACCCCAGTTACATATGAAATAAGTCTGCTCCTCAGCACCATCTAGTGGCCATAATGTGCTATTTATCCCCATTTACATTGCAGCATGGCCACTAGGTCCTGTTCACTATCATACAAAATAAGTCTGCTCCTCAGCACCATCTAGTGGCCATAATGTGCTATTTCCACTCATTTACACTGCAGCATGGCCAATAGATGGTGTTCACTATCATACAAAATAAGTCTGCTCCTCAGCACCATCTAGTGGCTATAATGTGCTATTTCTCCCCATTTACACTGCAGCATGGCCACTAGATGGCATTGACTATCATATGAAATAAGTCTGCTCCTCAGCACCATCTAGTGGCCATAATGTGCTATTTCTCCTCATTTACATTGCAGCATGGCCACTAGGTCCTGTACACTATCATACAAAATAAGTCTGCTCCTCAGCAACATCTAGTGGCCATAATTTGCTATATCTCCTCATTTACACTGCAGCATGGCCACTAGGTCCTGTTCACTATCATACAAAATAAGTCTGCTCCTCAGCAACATCTAGTGGCTATAATGTGCTATTTCTCCCCATTTACACTGCAGCATGGCCACTAGATGGTGTTGACAATCATGAAATAAGTCTGCTCCTCAGCACCATTTAGTGGCCATAATGTGTTATTTCTCCCCATTTACACTGCAGCATGGCCACTAGGTGGCGTTGACTATCAGACAAAATAATTCTGCTCCTCAGCACCATCTAGTGGCCATAATGTGTTATTTCTCCCCATTTACAGTGCAGCATGGCCTCTAGGTGGAGTTCACTCTCAAATGAAATAATTCTGCTCCTCAGCACCATCTAGTGGCCATAATTCAGTATTTTACCCTCTTTACACTTTTGAACAGCAGGGAATGGAGCCTGAGAACATTCGATTTTTGCCTTTGGCACAGAATGAATGTATATGCAGTATCGTTGGTCGAACATCTATGTAAATATTTTTTTAAATGCACCCTTTTGTGTAGATATACACTCCCTTAGTTACTCTGGCTATACATGGGTCCGTTTTTTTTTTTTTGTGGGTTGGCTGAAAAAACTACCAATTCCCCCATCCACACATTCCAGGTCGATTCTCCCTGCTGTGTCATCGTGTTCTGACAGGTGGACTCCCCCGCCATCAGAATACACTGACCAGCTCTGCAGCCAATTGGCTGCATGCACTGATCGAGTGAGAATTTACTAACAAGCTGGTGTGGGAGAAATCGATCGATAGATCATCTTCTCCTGAACAGGAACAGCCACGCATGGATCAAAATTAGGCTGGTTCCTGCTGCAGCGGTTGAAGTTCAATCCATGTATGGCCAGCTTTAGCATGCAATCTGGTTGTGCAATCTCTGTACCGATCTGATGTCATCTGAGAACACGTCTAAACAGACCATTCCATTAGTAATGAATCAGGCAGGCACTTGTACTACATAGTGGATGGTAGATCTAAAGGCACGAGTACAATGAGATTGCATAGTGTATGGTCAGCCTAAGACGTTCACATTTCATGATTGAATGGGTTGTTTAGGTTTGTCCTTAATCACATAGTTTTGGTAAATCTAACAAAGACTGTATGTAGATTGTATAGTGTATGGCCAGCTTATGCTATGACCTAGGAACCAATAAAGAGCAATCCCAATGCAGCTGCATTGTTCTTTGCCCTCCATATTGTGGCTGAGCATACACAATACAATCTGATTGTACAATCTCCTTTAGATCCGTTGTATGGTAAAAGAGCCTGGTTGATTTCATATGAATGGTATAGATTGTTTGGGGGGGGGGTAATATTCTACATATAAATTTTGGTAAAGTACAAAGATTGTA